ACTGTTGGTAGTCTTGAACTGCTGACCTTGAGGCTGGCAGTCCAACTCATAACCACCATGCTACCAGAGCTCAGTCCATTGCCATTATGATGAGTGAAATTAGTAAATTACAAAAGGACAAATATTGTATGAGACTATTATTGTAAAAGCTTAAGAAAGTGTTTCCAGGCTAAAAGAAACATTCTTTGATGGTTACCAGATATGGGAGAAAAGGGAGAGTAGTTCACTGGTTAGAGGGTAGATACATGTTAGCTTGGGTGACAGGGAGGGCAATGTACAAGGCAAGTAAAAAATTATCCATGCTCCATTTATATTGAAACACCTGTCCACATTCACAGTTGATGACAACGTTGAGCATGTATGTGAAATGATTCTGTTGAACAGACTAGTGACAGTGGATTATGTAGTAATCATTTGCAAATCAGCCATGGGTCTTCCTATGAAATAATCTACTTAGATTTTGGTTTTGAAAAGTTTGATAAAGATGATTACCAAAACAACTCACGTAAGAGTATAAACAGAAATGTTTGGAAATCTGCAAATAAAATTTGGACCGATACTCGAAGGAAAGTAAAAGTTTCTTTAAAAGAATCGATATTGATGACGAGACTTGGATTCATCACTACTATCCTGGGAGTAAATGGCAGAGTATGAAATGGAGACATCCTCAATTGCTGATCAAGAAAAAGTTCAAAAGTCAACCATCAGCTGGAAAATTGATGCTAACAGTTTTCTGGAATTCTCAAGGGTTAATATTGGAATAAGGAGCTCTGGTAGCGTAGTGGTTACGAATTGGGCTGCGAACCTCAAGGTCAGCAGTTCAAAACTACCAGCTGTTCCATGGGAGAAAGATGAGGCTTTCTGCTCCCATAAAGATTTACACTCTCAGAAACCCTGTACAGAGTCGCTATGAATCAGAACCGACTCCATGGCACACAACAACAACAACAGTATTGAAACACTAGCAGGAAAAAGGTTCAACCATCAACAGTGCTCATTACAATGAGATGCTCATTGAAGAGCTGGAGCCTAAATTTTGGATTAAATGCAGAGGACTGCTACCCAAGGGTATAGTGACCTTGCATGACAATACACTTCTCCACACCTTCTGCCCACCCTGATGACGCAGCAAAAACTTTGTTTTGAGGTTTTAAAGCATCCTTCCTATAGCCTTGATCTTGCTCCATGGGACTTTCACCTGTTTGGTCCCCTGAAAGCAGCCCTTCACCTCTGATGAAGTGAAGATAGCAGTGCATTTGTGGCTCTCACAGCTCAGCCTAAATTTTTTTTTTTATTAAGGGAATATGAAAGCTTGTTACCAGATGGACAAAGTGTATTGAAAATCATGAGGTTATATAGAAAATAATGCATTTGTCTTTTCTAAAAGTTGGTTACAATAAATTCTACAGCCAGAGTGCAGATAATTTTTGACTTACCTCCATACAAGAAGGGGGAGGGCAATATATAAGAAGAGGGAAATTGGCAGAAGTATGATGAAGACAGATGAAGACACAGGGAGGTGTTTAAGGGCTAAGTGGAATAGAGGTAAATAGTGAAATACATTGATACAACAATGTTCTGTGGGTAGACACATGGACAGAGACACATGCTAAATGGGTATGGGAAGAAGAATGGAAAAATGTTTATATATCCTACCAATACATAAGCATTTGAAAGACAAAAAAAAAAAAAAACAAAACACAAAAACATTCCACTGCCAAGGGTGGGAGGGAGCGAAGGGAGAGTAGTTCACTGGCTAGAAGGTAGACACATGTAAATTTGGGTGATGGGGAGGACAATATACAAGAAAGGAAAGGGCAATATACAAGAAGAGGGAGGTTTGCAGAAGAATGATGAAGACTGGTGCAGACACAGGCTAAAAGTGACAGGTCAATAGTGATACATACAGCCTTGTATAGATATGTGGACAGAGACACATGCTGAATGGGTATGGGAGGAAGAGTGGAATGTGTGTATATTTATATATATGTGGGATATATGCATATATATATTTATATTCCCTACATATATTTTTGTATCTCACATATATAAATATATATAATATCATAGATATACAAGAGTTTGAAAGATAATATTGCAAACACAACTGTGAATGTGGTAGAGCATACAGATGAAAACTTCTTAGATATTATTAAAGTATCTTAAGGCACTGAGTAGCTGAGTCTGAGGCCTTAGGACTATAGTATCATAAGAAACCATGGTCAATTGGTATACCATAGTCCACAAAGACAATATTCTACATCCTACTTTGATGAGTAGCATCTGGGATATTAAAAACTCATGAGAGTTTGTCTAAGGAGCAGCTATTGGTCTCTCCATGTGCAGAAGAAAGAAAAGTGATGAAAACTGAAGATAACTTGGAATCAGTTAATCCAAAGGAAGAATGGACTATGTGACCATCAGTCTCCATGACTCTGAGACCAGAAGAACTAGATGGTGCCCGACAACCACTACCAAATGCTCTGAAAGAGATCACATTAGAAGGTTCTAGATAGAGCAGCAGAATGTGTTGAAGAAAACTCAAAATTATTTTTAAAAGCAACAACAACAAAAAAAACTCACCCAGGCTTAATGATCAGAAATAGACTGAAGGAACCTGAGACTGTGGTCCCTGATGACCCTTCAGGTCTGGAAAATAACTCACCCTTGTAACTCAACTTTCAGCCAAGCAGTAGGTAATATATAGGGGGAACAGCACTAGGAAAGTATATTCACTATGAATGATGGAATGGTCAATCATTTAAAATCAAAGGGGCAACCTGTACTAAGGACAAAGGTGAGAAGGGACGGGAAGGTGGATGGGATGGAAACAGCAGCCGCAAGGAGGAAGTGGGATAACTGTTGTTCCATGGAGAGGATTGCAATCATTGAGATGAAACAAAGTTTGCCGAATGCAAAACTGATGATATTGTCTGGAAATCTTCACTCAATTACAATGAAAAGTTAAAAACAAAATTAAAACCCAGCATACCAGTGAACTATTGATTCCAAATGTATGGTGATCCATATGTTTCAGAGTAGAATTGTGTTACACAGAGTTTTCAGTGACTGATTTCTTGGGAAGTAGATCACTAGGAATTTTTTCCAAGGCACTCTGGGTGAACTTAAACCTCCACCCTTTCTGTTAGCCAAGCTGATGAACTGTTTGCACCACCAGGGACCTCTTAAAAGAAGTTACAAAAGACTAAAAGAGATTACAGCAGATTTGCATAAGAGAGTGAAGAACCCAACAGAAATGACATTAGTTTTTTGCAAGCCAATGGAAAGACCCTGAAAGATCTTCAGAGACTAAAGAAATACAACATAAAACCAAGTCAAAGAGGAAGTCAGTTGCAATCTTTGTGGGCATTGCAGATGTCCTTATCATGTAGAAAAATTTGCTAATATGCTAAACTCCTGGGAGGTTAGAAGTTACCATATAGCCGTTACAAAAATGGCTTCGTATGTCTTTTGTGGAGTAAGAATTTTCCTGGGTGTATATAAGTACAGATCTTAGATTCTGGTCCTTAAACTCTGACCACTAAGGAACTATGCATGATTGGTACAGTTACGTCCATTCACTTGGGATGGTTGAAAGGGCTTTTAATGTCTGTGTATGTTGTGGGTGGCTGCTAACCACAAGCTCAGCAGTTCGAATCTACTGTTGACCCTATGGAGAAAGATGAGGCTTTCTGCTCCTGTAAAGATTTACAGCCTCGGAAACCCTATACATGGTCACCATGAGTCAGAACCAACTCCAAGGGACACACTTGACAGAGAAGTTGATTTTAAACTTGTGATTTTTCAATGGAATATTATAAAATAATCTGGCTAAATGTATAAATAGTTATTGGAATGTTGAAGGCAACTTCAGATTTATTACGTTGGTAAATTTAACTTATTAAATTTACAAGATGATTTAAGTAGCTGGAAACTGACATACTTCAAAGGGAAAATTAAGAATAGTAACTTTATTAATGTAGTTTAAACTTTCTAAGGGAATATAACTAATTAGGATACAAATAGGACTGGGTCTTCAAATTGAAAAAGAGTTCAGCTTTTTTCAATTTGAGTTTCTCAAATGTGCCCTTGAAAGTGATTGGGAGCACACTATTTATATAAAATAACAATTTATAAATTGACCTTAAAGATGTTTTCTATTTTATTTTAATTTTTTATTAGTTTATGTTGTTATTAAGTGTCTTTGAGTCAGTTCCAACTCATAGCATTCCTGAATCTAGGGTTTCCAAGGAGCAGATGGTGGGTTTGAACCACTGACTTTGCAGTTAGCAGTTTGTTAGTAGTCCAGCGCTTATCATACAGTGACACACTGGGACTCTGTTAGTTTATAGTAATCAAAACTGTCCTCGTTGGAATCTGGTTGTCAGCGGTCATTGAGGCAGGAAAAGCAACAAATTCACTGTGAGAGCCACATGCGTCTGAGGAGTGGCCATCAGGCAAAACAATCTTCTACATTGTCCATAGGAATTTTTTTGATATTTTCAAACACAGATAAAATTATTTATTGTCCCTTGAAATTTTTGGAAAATAGATCTCAAAGAATAATTAATAATTTTATGTGTACTTAATTTGAAGATTACTTTTCCTGATGGTCAAGCTACATACACCCTTCACCAGAAATGTATGGTTCCCACAGTGAGTTTGTTGTTCTCTTACCTTTCTCAATGACCACTGACAATCAGATTTCAGTGAGGAAATGTCCCAACTACAATGTCCTATTTCGAACCCAAGAGCTTCCTGCCAATATGAAAACTTTCCTTTCCCCCTCAACTTGGTTTCCTTCTGTCCTGAATGCTGTCATTAACAGAGCAACTGTGACTCAGAGACCGGCTCCTCAGGGTTGTAACATTAGATGATACACCGCTTGGATCATTATACTGTAAACCAATGCCTTTGTTTCAGTGGGCTGGGCTCGCTAGAAGGTGTGCTGCTGCCAAAGTTGCTGGGAAAGCAGTCACAGGTGTGGAAAGAAAGACTTGCCGTTGACCTGGGCTTCTAGGGACTGTTCTTCCAGCCAGGAAGGGTTTTGGTATTAACCAGAAATACTTCCAGAAGAGAAACTTCAAAGGTGAAGCAAGTCTGTGAAGAACCAGCATGGGAATCCTTTACTCTGAGGTACGCGGCTTTTCTGGAAGTAAGATTTGAAAGGTGTTTTTGACTGCTCGTGCTTGTGAAATTTAATTTCCTGTCTCGGCTGATGTGTCTCTTTTTCTTCTCTTGAACTTTCTGTGTGAGTATTTAAGTTAGAAAAAATAAAGTCCTATATGTTCATCGTTTTTTATAGCAAGTTATTTTGAAATTGGAATGTTAACTAGAGCTAAGTAGAGAGGTGTATGAAACACATTTCATGATGTCCAGATGTTTGTAGAAGGAGCCTACTGCTGTTGTTGAATGCCATGGAGTCGGTTCCAACTCATAAACCTTGTATAAGGTTTCCAAGGAACAGCTGGTCGTTTTAAACTGCTGGCCTTGTGGTTCGCAGTCCAGTGCTTATTGTAGGGAGCCACCACACTGGCAGAAAGAACCTTAGCCTTGCACAATGGAATTTGAGTTGTACTTTTCTGAGGTCAAAGAGCCAGAGAAGTGAAAATTGTCCCTAGGTGGATTTTTAAGAAAGATTTACCAGTTCCTTCATGAAACTGCAGAGTAAAACCTTCAAAAGTAAATTTACCTCTAGTAATTATTAAAGATTATCACGGTGTAGAAGAGGAACCAAAATAAATACTGTTTGCTTTTTCTTTTTTGTAATACTTTAATCATTTTTTTTCATATTTGATGAGCACAAAAAACTTTTTCCTGTATGGAAACTTACCTATTAGAATCAAGTGAGTCTTTAATAACGTTTCAAAGAGTACACAAGAGTAATGTCTAAACGCAAGGACAAGACGCTTAATGACATTATTATTCATGACTTACTCCCTCCTCTCTCTTACATAATTAACCAGTTTGTCTGCATTCCAGTACAGATGTTCAACAAAACCTCCCATGGTTTTGTTCTTCTCATATTAAAAACAGTTTCTCTGAATTTGTAGTTATTTTTAGTGCTCTGTGTTTGTGTGTTATGATTATTCCTATAGTATAATGTGCTTATTTGATGGTTTTTTTTAATTCTAGGTATGTTTTGCTCAGTAACATTAGTCTCTTCAAGAGATCATATATATGAAAATGACAACACATGCAGTGTTCTAAAATGCTCCTCTGGTAATTCTCAGTCTTTAGATTATATAAGTATGAAGGAGAGGAACTTATTTTAAAATCTGTTTCAAGGGCTCCCACCCCAAAGAATCTGTGTTATTTTGCCTGTCTGTAGAATTCAGAGACCTGCTTCTTGGAGAAGCATCCCACGTTATTCTAAGTAGGAGATCACTTTCCCACAGAGAGAAAGACTGTGCTAAGCCAATGCTTTTCAAACATTTATGTGCATACAGATTACTTGAAGAGCTTGATGAAATGCAGACTCTTATTCTGTGGCCCTGAGTGAAGCCTAAAACTCTGCATTTCCACTCACAGATGATGCTGATGTTACTGGTCCATAGGTGACCAGTGTGTAGCAAGGTTCTAGTCTGAATCTTGAGAACAATCCCACTAAACCACCACCACCACAACAAAAAGTCTCAGGAAGAGCAGTGCAATTTTGTATGGGTTGGGTGCTGATTTGGCAAGTGGCTTGTGTCATGTCAAGTCATATTGAATTACTGCTAAGTATCTTATGAGCATGTTCCCAAAATGGAATAAGTGTTTTACCTTTTCGATATATTAAAGACAAAGCAACTTGGAATTCTCCGTATTTAAAAACAAAGAAAACACCTGCATATGTGTGCACATGGTTCACTCATATACATATACACATAAACAAAACCAAAAACCAAAACTAATCTAAAAGATTGAAAGTAAACTTTTAAAATCTTGCCATTATTATTGAATCAAGAATAATCTAAGATATTGTGAAAATAAATGTAGTTTCCTTGAAATTCAGTATCACAAGTGGAAGTAGGTTCTAAGCCCTTACATTTAATTCTGCTCATTTGTCTACTTATCTATTTATTCTAATGTCGGCAATGTGGGACAAAAGACTCATCTTGAAGGTTTCAGCCATTTCTAGAATAAGACAGTCATTGTCTACCCTTCTGACAAATAACTTGTCAATTTGCCTTAACCTAAGAGGATTTTCCCCTTGATATCTATATTAACACTATCCTATGGAGTCCTGGAAAGGAGCTCTGGTAGCGTATTGGTTACGAATTTGTCTGCTAACCTGGAGGTCATTAGTTCAAAACCAGCTGTTCCACAGGAGAAAGACAAGGCTTTCTGCTCCCGTAAAGACTTACAGTCTCAGAAACCCTGTACAGGGTCGCTATGAGTAGGAACTGACTCCACAGCACACAATCATCACCACTACCATGGAGTCGTGGAAGGAGCTCTGGTACATAGTGGTTACCAATTGGGCTGCTAACCTCAAGGTCACTAGATCGAAACTATCAGTTCTGAAGGAGAAAGAGATGAGGCTTTCTGGTCTCATAAAGATTTACAGACTTGGAAACCCTGTACAGGGTCTCTGTAAGTGGGAACCTACTTCACAGTGTATTACCACCACCACCACCAAGGAGTGCTGGTGTGGTGCTGTTGGTTAATGCGCTGGACTACAAGGTTGGCTTGAACTGCAAGATCGGTGGCTCAAGCTCACCAGCCACTCCTCGGAAACCTTATACAGTGTCATTATGGGTCAGAACTGACTCAACAGTACTTAGCAACATCAACAATATGAAATGTCCAAAACTAGGACAATCTGACCTGAATAATGAATGGAAAATGCTGGAGGATTGGGTTCTTTTAGATTGGAACAAAGCTCTGTCTTCTTCTTATGCTTGCATATTAGAATTATAGGTAGAATATATACTTTTCTCAAATGCCCAGTCCTACCCGCTGGTATTCTGATGCACAAGGTCTGGCGTAGGACTGTTCTATCTGTAATTTTAAAGAGTTGAGAACATCTGTAGTAATCTCTCAAATATTTAAGCAATACTTACTCACCTATCACATGCCAGTCTCTCACCTGTCATGTAGTAGTCACTGATTTCCCAGGTGTACAGCCTGTTAGTCACTGATTAAGACACGAGCAGTTAGGGCAAGTTAATTAGTGGTGACTAATCGCAAGGCCAGTAGACAACAAATCAAGAAAATCTAGAATTGTGAAAATCCTGATTGTGCCAGAAACATTGTGTGAATTAAGGGGAAAAAAACCTCTCTAAGTCATACTTACCATTTCTATAAGCTTATTCAATATTTTACTTACTGCCATTCTGTGACACAGAAAAAGAAAACATGAAGAAAATTGGGGAACATGCCTTCTTAACAATCTACTTTTCCTTTCTACTTTGTTGAAATATTGAAATCTAAAAATGTTTGCCATTCTTGTCAGAAAGCAAAACAAAGAAACCACAAACACACAAAACACTAAGTCTTTTTTTTCCCCATTTAAATTTACTTTATTCATTTTTTGTTGAGTGCCATGGAGTCGGTTCCAACTCATA